GTGCTCTTAGGAACCTTAAGTGCAGCAGAAATTTTTTTTTGTAACCTTGGCCAGATCTGTGCCTTGCCACAATTCTGTCTGTGAGCTCTTCAGGCAGTTCCTTTGACCTCATGATTCTCATTTGCTCTGACATGCAGTGTGAGCTGTAGGGTCTTATATAGACAGGTGTGTGGCTTTCCTAATCACGTCCAATCAGTATAATCAAACACAGCTGGACTCAAATGAAGGTGTAGAACCATCTCAGGGATGATCAGAAGAAATGGACAGCACCTAAGTTAAATATATGAGTGTCACAGCAAAGGGTCTGAATACTTGTGACCATGTGATATTTCAGTTTTTCTTTTTTAATAAATCTGCAAAAATGTCAAACATTCTGTGTTTTTCTGTCAACATGGGGTGCTGTGTGTACATTAATGAGGAAAAAAAATGGACTAAATAATTTTAGCATATGGCTGCAATATAACGAAGAGTGAAAAATTTAAGGGGGTCTGAATACTTTCCGTACCCACTGTATAATCCGCCTAATTCAAGGCTGAGATCTCTCATATCTCTTTCAACTTTTCACTTCTGGCTTCGACATGCAGGAAGTGCCTGTCTGCTATTACAGGAAGAGATGCACTGACAGGAAGCCAAGTCATTCCCTCAAACGCACGCAGTGTCCAGTGGAAGATCAAGGCAGGCCGGACTGGAGCCATGGTAACAGTTGCTAAGAAGCAAAGGGTCTGCAGTTCCTGTTCTGTGTCGCTCTGCGGGGTGAAATAGGATATAAGACAAAAGCAAGGCCGGAGCACGGGGAGACAGATGTAAACACACAAACTGCATGATACTGTTTAAACTGACGCTCCACCTCCAGCACTCTTACTTTAGTCAGCTGTTAAAGAGCTGACTTAGCCACTGACCTACTGGAATTTGATGGATTCTTACACTGGCGAGCCAAGTTTGCAGCTGTTGAGGATAAAATGCAATTTCAGCCATCATTAAAAGGTACAGTGCTTGTTGGATCGTGAAGCAGTGTCGGAAACCTCCTCTCTTCACATCTTTGTAACATTAGAACTGACCATTCACTGAATCTCTCCCTAGAACAGCACTGAATGTGGGCTGAGTTAAAGCAGCCATATACAAAAAGTAAAACTAAACACACAGAGGCAACAGTGTATTTGTCCAAATTTACAGTAAAGCTACAAATATTAGCATGTCCGGCTAACTAGCTTACTGCTGTGGTAACTCTAACCCACTGTTACTTCCAAGGCCAGGGAATGTTTCATACTGTATTGTTTTGTGGGGTTACAGGTTACATTAAAAAGCCCCAACTAGAACATCCGCTTTGTGAAAGCTGGCCCTCCATGTTACTATATCATATGTTACTACTGTAACTGAGCTTGGTTTCCAGTAACCCCATCCAAACCCGTTATCTAAATGCAACTCAATGTCCAAAAGTGATGGGAAGCTGTGTAAACTGTAAATAAAAACTTGCTCAAATGTTCTGAAACCCCTTTTACCCCAAACTCATTTGGTAACACACAAAGATGTCTAATATTTAAATTTATATATTTTGGTTTATATAAGATTATTCTGAATTTGATGCCAGCACCACATTCCAAAAAAGTTGGGTCAGGAGCAACAAAAGACCGGAAAAGTTGTGTAATGCTAAAAAACACCTGGTGGAACACCTCACAACTACTTAGGTCAACTGGTAACAGGTCAATATTATGACTGGGTATAAAAGAGCATCCCACAGAGGTAAGGATGGGGTGAGGTTTACCACTCTGTGCGGCAAATAGTTCAGCAATTTAAGAAGAACGTTTCTCAGTGCAAGATTGCAAAGAATATGGGTTTTTCATATAATATAATGAAAATATTCAGAGAATCCAGAGAAATCTCTAAAAGCAAAGGACAAGGCTGAAAACATTAGCGAATGGCCGTGATCTGCTGGCCCTCAGGCGACACTGCATGGTTCATCACTGCATCCACAAATGCAACTCGACCATGCAAAGAAAAAAACGTGTATGAACAGGATCCAGACACTCCGCCACTTTCTTTGAGCTCAAACTCATTTAAGATGAACAGAGACAAAGTGGAAAACTGTTCTGTGGCCTGATGAGCCAAAATTAGAAATTCTTTTTGTGGTGGACGAGAGGTTCTTGGGATTCAGGTTGGATGAGGGTGGTACAAAGGGGTGAAAACAGCGATAGTCACAGAAAGGCCATTATGTGTTCCTACAGTATATCACCCCTCTAATAGTCAAGCGTGCCCACACTCTACAACCCCACAAAACTTCTTTAAATTCTTTGGTACGCACAGACAAAGATTAGGAGTAACTCTTTCTAACTGACACTCCAATTTCTCAACATTTTTCAGTGCAGAAGTAATAACATCAAAAAATAGAAGACAACATAGGCAATGTAAAATTCATACAGGATCCAGAATACTTTCATTTAGTGTACAAATCTACTGAAACAGCCTGACCATGGTGTTAGTGAGCAGGGCATGCTCACTAACAGCTGTATAATGGATGAACCATGCTGTGCTGGTGTTCCCTGCACTACTGAGACCAACTCTCAGCTCAGATGGAAATCCTCTGTTCAATTATTCAGACCCTCGTCTACAGAGCTCTGCTGTTTTTGGAGGCACAGACAGAGTCCCAGAATATCAGGACAGAACAGGTGGACACTTGACACTAACAAATTTCTTTTATAAAGTTAAATTTCAGAGACTGTAGAGGAATAAGCCTCCTTCTAATCCTTCCAATTTAAGTTTTTTTTTTTTTTTTAAATATATCACATTTCACCAGTTGTTTCATGCCTTTTTCTCTCTGGCACAGAAACAGGCTAACCATGATAAAGGTGTGTACAAGTGCCTATGTCTTGATTTTACTGCCAAACTGACAGAAGTTATTATGCAACTTCATGGAAGCATTGCAAGTTATGACACACTAGGTTTTGTAATCCAGAAAAACACTAAGAGTCAAAGTGGTGTCTCTACTATGAGTTTTCACTTGAGTAGCAGAAAGATCTGGTG